TACTGTCAGCTTAAATCTGTACGAACTTCGTTACTTTAATTCCACCTCCATCGCAAGTGATGCCAGTCAGTACAAATTAAAAAAAAAGTTTTCAAACCAAATTAGACTATTCTTAATCATTACGAAAAACGAGCAATAGAAAAATATTTCGTTGAGTTTCGTATTAATTAAAAAATAAATGAAAATGAAAAATCGAAAATAGGGCACTAAGTAGTTTCCTATTCATTTTACTCATCAGTGAACAAAGAGCACAATAACCATAAAATGAAGGAAGTTAAATAACATGAATACGGAACAGTGCGGAAAGAACAATAATTCTGGTGCAGTCAATAAAGAAAGTGAAGTTAGTTGCAACACAACCATCTGAAGTACTATAAAGATAGAAAAAATGACGAGTGTTTGCAAGTGTTTCGAAGATTACATGAATTTATTGAGCTAAACACTGTATTAATTTAACTCTGAAAAGTAGATAAACATTTTGAGATAAACAATTGATGCACTATGACCTTGTTATACGTTATGTTATCCTGGTGAATCCACCACAACTTTCATCCTGCAAACCTATGGAGCTCAGTTTTCATTTAATAATGGAATACAAATATAAATCATTTAAAACTCAGACCAGAAAACTTGTCCACTTTCGTCAACACTGCAAACAAGCAGAAACACACCTTTAATTAGCTGTAGCTGAGTGAGTTCAGGTTCACTGTCCGGGTGATATCTACTGCTATTGACCAATCTTCTTCGACGTTTGCTTGTTCCTCTGCAAAGTATTCTTTCCGAAAAAAATCATTCGATTTGCGAATTTCAAACTTTTAACTCATATTGGAATTCTGCATGTAGCTTGTATATCTCGAATACCAGACACCATAATTCATAAGAATGTAGAAGAAACAAATTAAAAGTAATGCAAAAATATATGCCTTTTAGAAAATGGATCAATTTTGTCCACAAACTGCGTGGCAGTTGCGGAAAGTTGCTGTCCTCCGGTAGCAGCACCTTGCGTTTTCGGTGGTGGTATTTGATATTGCTGGGCACCAATGCCACCTTTATCTGTCATTCCTTTTTACCTCAAAAAGTTTGCTACAAATGAATCAAACAAACAATTAAAACAATTTCTGGTCATCAGACCACTATCAGCACTGCAACTCTACTTTAATTAGATAATGAGATTGAAAGAAACAGTATACCAACGAAAGAGTGACCATTCTAAAGATAAAGTGAAATTGAATGGAAAGAAGTGGTGAAAATATGGAGTATGCTCTTAATTAATTCGTTCGTACTCAATTATTATTACTCAATACTGAAACAATTATTGCTTCCAGGATGGCATAGGGCACAGAAAATCCGGTAAACAGCTTCAAAATTTTACAAGAAATACACTCTACTACTTCACTTCTCAAATTCATTTAAAATAAATTCTGAGACTTATGATTCCAGATACTAAATTCCAACTTTTATGGAATACAAAATGAAAATAATCTAAGATGTGGTGTGAACGGTAAGGCAGATCATTTCATAGAACTTTTAACTGTTATCATGATTTCCCAGAATTTCCAATAAGCAAGGTTTTCGCATCTTTCCAACAGACAAACTCTTCCCACCCAAAAATAAGAAAGAGAAAAAAACTGATTCTCCTTTTCAGCTACACAAAAAAGTAAATCACTAACCACCCACAAGAATGCTATAAAGAAAATTTGCCCTGCACTGCGACCAATCCTTCACTCTCGAAGCTAAGCCCAACTATTGCAACTTAATATTTTTTGTTTTCCATTATCAAATAACGGTCACATAGTTATATAGACAGTACATTTGTAATTGGTTCTTCATTACGTCTAGTAGATTGGCTAGTGATTATTATTACAATTGTTAATGATAAAGTAATAATTATTAACAATTAATAATTATTAATAATAATAATAATAATTAATAATAATAATGATAATAACGATAATAATAATAATAATAATAGCAGTAATAATACTAATAACAATAATAATTGAATAACAATTGTTCTACCTTATTTCTTATCATTTATGGATTGAATTTTGTGAAGCAATCAAACTTTGAGTTTTCATGTTAATTTGTTTCCCATTGATCGTCTTCTTAATGCATTTGGAGTTGATATGGTATTAACATGCTGCAATTTAATAAGATTATTCTTATTATATATTAGTAGAAAGTGGATTTTTTTTATTCATATATTATTTTTTATTACTTCATATTTTATATCGTATTTTATTACTTCAGTTTCATTATTTCAAAGAGTTTAGGATAGGTCTAAACTCTTTAAAATACATGATTATTTAAAGAATCTTATTTTTATTAATGGTGGCAGTCAACAATAATTAATGATAGACTCTATCTTAAATGAAATCTTCAATACTATTTGCATTTTGCAAAATCTCTTTCCGAAAGGTTTTTCAAAACTCACGATCTTAATCAATTAATCAATCTCTTCGTTAATTTTGATGCCTAATGAGTAGTTTACCAATTCGCTGAAATTCAAGAAATCAGCTCTATTTATCCATGAAAGAATTTGCAAACTTTGTTTATGGCATAAAGAGACAACACCGTTTGATGCTTCAAATAAGCACTGCGAACTGATGATAGTTAATTGGAAGGCAGAAATTAAATTATATTGCTTGTATTATTCTTTTGAGTAACTTTTTTCCACTTGCATATGGAAATGAATTTGGAGAAAATATTATGGTTGCAACTTCGAGTCTTTTAAATTTTGAAAAATATGTCATCTGTATAACTAAATTGGGAATATTAACTTTCTGCACAAATTTCAGAACTGAATCTTCTGAATGCGCTTCTTTCAATAACTTCAGCCAATATTTAGCGAAAATGTCGAGAGAAGCACTTTTTGAAAATACAGCTTAAAAATTTTTTTCACTTACTTTCTACATAAGTGTAAGAAATATTGAAAAAATTTTGGTGTTTTTCACTGCGAATATGATATAAATTAGCAAGCATTATTTACAAAAAATTTTGATCTGAACTTTAACTTCAAGGTCATTTCATTAACACAAACAATAGATTTGCATGACCTCAAGATCTCAGGTCGTTCCAAACTGCTATAATTTTAGGTTATCGTCACAAAAAATTTGTTTCCTGTCCGTATGTTTTATTCTCCTGGCCTTCCAATCCATATTTACCAATTTATTGATTGATAAGTTCTTTGTTCCTTTATTATCATAACGACAAAATCGATTCGTATCTTGCTTGATTTATAACTGAATTAAAGTAGTGAAAGAAATGAACTCAATAATGTTATTAAATTAAAATTTCTATTAATTCGTTCATAATTTTACTGAACTGGAAAAAATTGGACTGAAGAGAAAAAATTAAAGAACTGGTGAAAAATGAAATTAAAGGAACTCCCTGGCCAGTGCTATTTTTTCGTAAAGCAGTTATTCAACAAATGGTCCAGGTCGATTGATGACTGATTCCGTATTCTCAGTGGATAAATCGGGTCTAAAGACTAATCATGATATTAACAATGAAATTATTTTGTTGCAGGATTTATTTCGTTACATCTGATGAACTCTGTTCGGCTTTTAGGAATTTCAGATTCTTTTGTCCAAAGGTGCCTGCTTTGAATTAAAACAAAGCCCCAGTTATATTCCACTTTTTTTTTTATTTTACTTCATATATTAGGAGTAATCTTTCATAAATATTTCGTAAACAACGAAAGATCACAATGAAACATTATCAATTATTCATTTATTTTTATTGCGCCTCGATTACTTTATTGATTTCTCTTTTTTAATGTTTCATGGCGCTAATACTAAACCTTCTTAAAAAGAAGCTATTACTTAAACACTTTTAGTAAATTTCCATGCTTTTTCACTAACTTTTCTCTAAGTTTTTTACAAGCAGAAATAATTACTAACTAACATAATCGTTTGTAGCTAATTTTGACAGTAATTCATGATTTGATTAGAATCAAAAGTAATGTCGATCAATTGTCAGACGTTATACCACCATTACAAGTAATCTAAATAGCTTACTACTTCCCTTTTGTGAAATTGATCGTTTGACAATGAAAATGTTTCTCCCAGTGCGTTCACTATCCCTCTACCACAGAACAGTAATATGGATCAGCTGAAAAGTATGTGTGATGAAGCGATCGGAAGTAATGACAACATAATGTCGGACGAGCACATTCAATCACATTTCAATGCAAAAAAGCAATGTGCAATAGAAGCAGAAATAGATTCGTTCGTCAGATGATCGATTATGTTTCATCCTAGTAGACCTGTCTTCTCCTTCAGTTCTCCACTGCCATTTTTTTTAGTTTCATCCTTTTCGAAATTTATCGCTGTTTTCATTGATGCGTTCGTAAATTTTATTGATCCATTTTCGTATCCAATTTTACAATCAATGAAATATTTTTTTTGTTTTCATTCTTGAAATATTCCGTGAATTCCTTTTCTTATGTCTTCCTTAAAGCTCGTCTATATGAATTATCACTGATAAGCATAGTTGATTTGATCCCAAGCAATGAATGTTTTCAATGGTTACTTTCTTGAAGCTAAAGTTCTTCTAATTCCTCAGAAGTGCTGCGAATGTTTTTATTTCTTTTAAAATGTGTGAATTCCTGAAATATTTGACTGAAGATCATTTTGAAATGATAAAATTACTTCCATTCAAACTAAAATTTTGAGCTGCTTTATGAAGTATCTCTGCTGTTCATTGAACTGAAACATAGGACAAATTTATAAATTTCTTAATTCACGAATTAAGAGAAGAAAGAAGCAATTAATGAAAGATGAAGTGGGAATAAGTTTTGGGTTATGCATTATATTTTATTCAGTTGAGTTGCTATGTCAAATTTCTTTTTCTTTTTTTTTTTTTTTTTTTTTTTTGTAGCATTTCTCCAGATTTGTGAAGAAACGGATAACATTAGCAGTACTGTTGTCGTCACATTTATTAATTAGTTCCCTTTACTTTCTTAATTATTTATGAAACTAAATACAATTAATCCACAGATGCTGTTCCCGAAATTTAAACTATACAGTTCTAATGACCAACGAACTGGCACATTAGCTAGACTGATGTTTAAGATTGCAAATGTTCCGTATGAAGATATAAGAATTAGTGGGAAAGAACAATGGAATGACATTAGAAATGGTTTGAAATTTAAAAATTTTTTTAAAATGACCTAAAAATTTGATGAAGAAATAGTATTATAAAAAAATGATATCAACTTAGAGATAGGAGACAGCGTACTTGAAATAATATCTGAAATTGAAATAACAAATATTAAGAGATAGAAGAGAAGGAAGAGGAATAAGATGTGAATTTTTATCTCTAAGAATTCGTTTAAAAATTACCAAATTTAAATAAGTTTAACAGGACTTTCCGAACAAAATGCAACATCTCTGAGTTTGGTTTAGAAAATGTTAGAAATACAAACAAGAAAAGAAAAGAAACCGTAAAAATAAAAAATTTACAGAGACTGCACTTGGCATACTGCCGATACTGGAAATAGATGATGTCAAGTTAAGTGGACAGACTGCCATTTGTCGTCATTTGGCCTGGAGGTTCGGTAAGTTATTATGGACACAAAGAGCTCCCACCGTTACATCATTCTTCATATTATGCTTCATTTCTATTCTTTATGTGTTAAGGATCGTTAGAAAAGACAATTTCATATGATGAATTAGTAATTTTTTATAGTTTATCAATTGCTAACCAATAGGAAATTTGTTTTGTATTCTTACAGATTGCTTCACTATATTTATTATGATTGAAAGAAGGTTAAATTAGTTTTTGTTTGACTAAAATCATTTATCTATCTCTTCTTTCTTAATATAAAGAGTGATTTGACAGGACTTTCCGGACAAAACGCAACATGTGACGCATTGCTCGATATGTTTGCTGATTTGCTCCTTGAGGCTCAGGTTTCAATTTTCGGATCAGCGAATGATGATAACAACATCTATACCAATGTTAGTTGTTTAAATTAGTACTTTTAAATTGATTTTAAACTCCAAATTATATTTTCTGAGAGAAATCGTAAGTTTATAAAATTATAAATTGTTACTAATTTTTTGCCACATTTTGTAAAAAATGCAATGAATATATAACGTACTCAGAAGGATTTAAAGAGCTGAGTATACTGTTTAAGGTTATTTTCCTGCTGACTAACATAAATGTTTTTATTGTCCCATAATGGTTGCAACAATTCCAGATTATAATAATCGATGATATAAAGCTTAAAGGAGTTCATAATCGAGTTGCATCTATTATCGAGAAACAACTGACTCAGAACAACACTTCCTATCTGATCGGAGAAGAGGTAAAAAAAATTAATTTTCTTTAAACAAGATAAAAAAAAATTAATCTTCTTTGAACAAATAACTCAAGTGCAAGGTTTGAATCGAAACAGGAATGATTCACAAACGTTGATAGACTTCTTCATGCTCAACTTTTTCAGTTGTACGAACATAAGAACAAAGTGCTGAATGAAATGGAACTAAACTGCCATCCTAATATTGAGATGTATTTCAGATTACATGGGTTGACTTGATGACTTGCACATTTTTCAATTCATTAATGAATTATGATAAGAATGTAAATCTCGACAGGTATCCATTAACGAAATACATGTATGAAAGAATCTCACAACTAACGGAACTGGAAAACTACTGTCAACAAAAATTAGATGCAAACAGTAATGCTGTCCAAATAACTGATTGTTCATAATTCGAAAAAAAGAAGGAGAAAAGTATAAAAGACCGATGAAAATTTCTTTTTTTAAAACTTCAGGAAATACCAAAAAAGTCTTCTTATATTCAAAGTAATGAAAAAACAATTTTTTTGTTTCAAAATAGAATCATCGGTCATGTTGCTACGAATTTATAGATATTTAATACGCATTCATTTATCACTATGATTCAACGAATTGTTATAACTTTTATAGATGTTCTAAATTTCAAAACATAATATGGAATAAAATTACACATAATATGGAACAAAATTTTTGTAGTCAGTTTTATTATTATTATTAATTACTATAAAATACTAGAAGGTAGAAAATAAGTGCATGGATGTTAAAATTAGGGTGGATAAAAAGTTGGATTCGTAACGAGTGTTATTCTGAATCCAATATTCAGAACCTTTTTGTATTACACATCAAAATATCAGCTAAATGGATTGAATTTTGCTACTGTCACGCGTGTCCATTTGTAAAACTGAAAATTTTTGATAGAAAGCGTTTAAATATTTCCTTAAATATGATGCGAAGCAGTAAAGTGATATGATATAAAATAATTATTCAGAAAGACAACTGATTTCCAATCTGACTAATTTTCAAGTTCATTACAATTTTCGTTCATTAATTCATGAAATAATTTTCGGGAAAGAATGAATTACACGAAGCGTTTAAAGCTTTTTGGTGCATTCTGCCGTAAAAATATTAAAAACTGTGTTCTTGTCCCTCGAGTATCTATTTTACCATCAAATGCATTTCATTTCCATATTTCACAGCAACATAGAATCATCAAAATCAGTTGTCCACTACTCGTGCCAAGCATATTTGGCTAAATTTCTGTCAGCAATATCTTATTTGGCTCTAGCTATTAACACTGCTCTTCACACTCTATAATGAATCTTCCCTATATCCTCAATCCTTCATTTCTAATCCTCTAAAACTTTTGTTGCATAATTTGGACTTCAATATGTACAGATGCACTTCATACCTACTGCTTTCATAATGCTGTCCACAAAGAAGTGTGATACTGTAGCAACTAACGAAATGATACTGAAACATTCCTATTATCCCCGAAATATGAACACTGAATTTATCAGATGATAACTCACTTTCCATAGTTGCCTCATAACTGGATCTTAATAAATTCGCTACAAGCTAATCCTGGAATGCATGTCTTTTACCATAGCAAGACATCAGTAAAGGACTAAAACTCCTTCATTCTTAGCAGCTGTTTCCAGATCCCAACTTTTTTATTTTACAAAGTAATAATTGTGACAGAGTTTCTCCACAACCCACGGGTGTAACCCACCAACGTAAGAATGTAAGAACACTTTCAGCGATCAATTTCAAGCTGTAGGTTTATTATGATGATGTAATCTGTGATCAGAACGTTTCAATCGACTAGTTATAGCCGCATTATTCTCTCCTTAATTGTTTCCATTTTACTCAAATTTTGTCTTTCCTCTCACTACACATGCTAGCAATTATTTTGTGCCAATTCCGATCTTGAATGAAAAGTTAAGCGACTAAATGAACGAAATATTATGGGTTTCTCACCTCGTTGCTAAGAAATATCATTCTCACTTCATTGCTATTTTTAACCACATAAATTAAACAGTGAACCAATTTGGTGTACTGCAATATAAGTCCATAGATCTCACATTTCCATTATAATAAATAACAAAGACACATAAGATCGGAATGTAACAGATCTTTTGAACAGCATTTAGTAGAAATAACACCAACCAGATAATGACATAAAACAATTGCCAAATACACAGGATTGAGCGGTGTACTATTTAAAGGTTCTAAAAGCAATTATAAATATTTATTAAAACAAAGGTTTTTTTTCCAGTTGATACATACTTTCCAACATCCTGGATATTAAGACTGGGGTAATAAAACAAAAAACACCATTCATGACGTTATTGAGACCTACGTATAACTGGTGAAATTATCGATTTTTGTAATCATTTCATTATTAGATTTTTTTTAAAAAAAAAAAGAAAAAAAAAAAACGAGATCTGAGTTACATGCTACTAAAACTAAAACTCGAAATTTTATAAAGTGATAAAAAACAAACATATGAGCAATAAATGAGTGATAATACAAATTCAAAGAAAGTACATGAAGAAACGATGATCAAGAACAGTTGAGCATATCGGCAAAAGAAAACAGCGGTCTCGGACAAATCTTCTTCCTGTAAATATTTCATTCTTTCGATAACTTTGTTCAAAGTCTCTTTAGGACTATGAAAGTGAAAAAAGTGATGATTATAAAAGATTCAACTACTTATGTTTGAACTGTGTCCTCCTCAACTAAATGCATGTCTGTCGATTGCTTTGGATTTAAACACACAAATGTATAGTTTGCAAATAAAAAGCATCGTTATTGTCAACTGATATTACTAGAAGCCTATTTTTACCTCATGACCTAAATAGTACGAAAAGCTTACAAAATGTGTAGACGAGCGTTGTTCAGTTCCACGTTTGCTTTGACAACAGAGGGCGACAAAGAATTTTGATCTCGTGTACGACAAAAATTATGAAAGTCTAGCGCAGCAACACCATTACCAAGCTTTATTGCTTTTTCCTCCGGACGAATAGCAAAAATTCTCATCTACATGAGCAAAAGTTTTAAATATCACAAAGCATTTTCTAATCAGGTAGCCAATTAACTGTTCTTTTTCTTTCTGCATCGGTTGGAACGTTTGGAAATGAGAAGCTACTTCAAATCTTCCAGCATGTGACGTAATAACGAGCAAAATTTATTGAGTCTTCAGAAAACCAGTCTTTCATCAATTCATATAAAATTAACTTGAGAACAGGATGTTCTTCCAAAACTACTTTTTTTTTTTTTAATTTAAATTACCAAAAATAAGACGCAGTATAAAAATAAAGTAAAAATACATATTGGTACTAACCTCTAGTTCATCATTATATTGGCTGAGAATATTACTCTTTTCTTGCTTCAGATCAACAATAACACAACGTCCTCCACTGCAACTACGCACATGGTCCAAGATGTTTCGTTCAATACATGATGCACGTTTACATCGATTACAGACAACTAATGAAGGTAACAATTGAGCTCTGAAACAGGGAACTAATGAATCCCTAAAACAGTAGTTTAAATTGTTACAAACCTTTATTATAATAAAAACTACTTTGCAAGTTTATGAGTAAATAAATTTATTCCTTACATTAGAGATTCTTGTTCAGAAATAAGTGAAATATCATTTATATTTTTGAATCTTCTCTTAGTCAGCAAAATTTATGAAGCGTCGAAATGCAACAAAGAGAGTTATAGAAGAAACGCTTACAATAAGTAAAATTCGGAGTTATATCATTCAATATATATTACTCGACACAAACCAAATAAGTACTGCAATGTGTCTGGCAGTTGAAATAACAATAACAACAACACAAATATTTTTCACAATTTATTTATGATGCTGCTTTGTAAGAATAGTGATAAAGCTTAAATTTGCCTCGTCATCCCTCCTCGTTCCTTTTTGCACTTGACGAATTTGTGTCGTTGTGACGCAACGTGACAGTTTGTACGATAACCGCAAGAACAATAATATGTACGTTTGAAATGTTCGCACACATCATTTAACCCTTCATTACATTCCATGCATTTCCACTTTTTTTTTCTTGACCATAACTTACGGCCCTTTAAAAAAAAACAATACTCTTGATAAAGAAAGATTTATAAAAGGTTGACTGAAATAAAACCAAAACTAATCTAGTCGAAAATTTTTTGTGTGAAACTTTATTAAGAAAAATAACCACTTTTCTTTAAGTCAAGAAAGAATAAAATATTAAGGTGAAACGGGGCCAAGTAAAGATAGACAGTGTCAAAATGTTAATTCAGTTTTTACCTTTCGTCTTGTATGTACCTGCACACTTTTTGAAATCCATTTCAGATTTGGTTGAGTATGTTCTCTCCGATGAGCAATTTTATCAGCATGTCGTATGAATTTCAGTGAGCACTGATCACAACCATAGTTTTCTAAAACTAGAAAGATTATCATCATTTTACCAGCTACAATTTATTAGAAATCGTGCAATTAATTGATATTAAATAATGTTAGGGATTTATATAGAACAATTACGTTAATATTATTTGCTCATATTCTTGAAATATCTGACCTTCCTGATGTAGCAAAAAATGTTTAACATATTCGTGTTCATTTATCACAGATGACGCATTGTCTTTTGGTATAACATGGCAGTAAAGACAGAACGGACACAACAAAGTGCGTGTATTCGAATGAAATCGAACAAAATGATCTATAAAATGGGTTCTCATCGATGTCCTGTATCGACATTTCCTGCAATGAAATGGAGCATCGAAATCGCCATGAATTTGCCGGTGCTTGTCCTGAAATCACAATAATTACATTTTCGGTTAAAAGAGATTTGAATGAGAGGAAAGAAAATTGTAAACATACCAAAGTTGCAAACCAGTTTTGTTTATAATCAACCAAATGCTGACTTTTTAAGCACAGAGAATTTTCTTAACGATGCCCTTCTATTACAATAATGGAATGAATAAATACTTCCAGTATTTCAATAAATCATACAGACTCGAGTTTTGTAAGGATTCTAAGATTATAAGCTGAATTAGGAACTTGTAACTAATAGCATTAATAGCACTGAGTATCACATTTTTAAACATAAAGGATAGCATCGTAAAAAATACGAATTACAAACGTACTTCATCTACAGTGATTTCACATATTTTACATGTGGATGAGGATGGCGTTGCACTGTGAACATTATTATAGTGGATTTGCAGACGATATGCCGTAGGGAATAAATGCAGGCATTGAGGACAACGGCAGAAGCGATGCATTTCTCGAGGGCAGTTAGGACTACTGCCATAACTGAACTCAGTTAAATGTGCCCAAAGATGGAACATGAAACTTACATTATTTGAAAGCAGCATTCTACAGCTTCCAATAGAACACTGAAAACATTCATATAATCAAACTGATAATTGAAGCAAAAGCAAATTTTCTTGCTAGTTCTTCTATCTGATAATTCTGTACAAGACATTTATTTGTGGTAAGTTATGAATGAATTCCAGGCAAAATCAATCGAAATGCTCTCCATCCGTTACTCAATTTGTCGATGGCTAATGGATAAAGATACATCAGATATTATTATGTATTCTCAATTTCGATAAATAATAACTTAATTTAAATAAGAAATCAACCTACTCGGAATTTGACATTGAATTGTTGTGCTTCAAATGGTGGTGCTTTTGGATCATAACTTTCATAGCAATACGAATCCAAGCTATTTTCTTCCCGTGACAATGATAAAGTTGTATAACTAACATCATTTTCCGCGTCCGATATGGCATGATTTCGAATTTCCAAATGTGAAGCTGACGAGACTTTTTGTAATATTAGTGGTGCAGGAGTTTCCGAAACATTGATTCGGCAAAACTCTGCTCGACGGGGAGCTGTAGTATGCAATGGTAGTCTGCTGACTGAAGACTGCTGTAACTTGAACACATCATTCTTTCATTAGCACTTTACCGAAAGCTTATTATGAGCTACTTAATCAACTGATATAAACTTTATTTGAAGTTTATTTGAAAAACAATTAACGAATCCATGCAAACTGCTTTTTGGAACTTAACGACTAACTAGTCAACCTCAAGTTACGCAGCTGCTCCAGCAAAACTACTTCACCCTTTCTGCAATCTTAACTGCTAAATTTCCTAAGTCATTAATTTACATAAGCAGTACAACAGAAAGTTACAATATTCAGTACGATTATTCACCTAAAATTTCTTTTGAAAAATCAGTACTTGTACAAAATGTTTCCTGGACAAATCTTCTCTGAGCCTTCAAATGCTATTTAGTCCATAAAGGAAACAGTCATAACTGATGAAAAACTAAAAACCACCCTGACTTGTAGTGCTGAGAAACTGAGAGGTTTCGCACGAATGACCGAAGCAGTTGCCCCCACATTTCGGCTTACTGAACTGTACCCATCACTATCGTCGTCATCGCTGTTATCAAGTGTTATTACTTCTGGGCATTTCGTCATCTGCAAGTATAAAAATAATTATCAAATCTGAGATGTTAGTACTAGTACCAAAGAGTGGATTAACATAACATTACGCAAGAAAACACAAATGAGAAATTACTATAGCAACAACACAAAAATGTTTCACAATGTTCAAATTATGATACCCTCATGTCTTACTACTTACTAAGTGATGTAATCGATAGCTCCAAACTGTATAACCCCAAATTACTAAACTGTCCGAATGTTGTCATTTTTACATAGTGGTAAGGTGCTTAAGTTAAGAATTCGTGAGTTAATTGGCGAGGAAAAAGTATGCATTATTTTCTTAATATTAGTGATTCTTCACTATGTTTCATAAATTTTTTTCCTCTTTTCAAGTTACTTAAACTCGTTGCAAAATGTCTGAAAGATCATATTTTAAAAAAGTCTTCAGTACATCTTTTCAGTGGTCTGTAAACGCATTCCGAATTGGTAAGAAATAACAGTTGTTAATGTACATATTCTTAACTTCGACTATTTCAAGAAATCTGGTCCATATTAAGTAGGTAGTACTTTTTATAGGCAATGCTTTCTCTGCAAATGAATTCAAATGCAATTATAAGTCCAGTTCTCTGTTACACTTTTTATACAGCTCGAACGGCTTTCTTACCACAGAACGGTAATGAGTAGAACGACTCTTTTAACTAGTTTTCAACAATTTTAGATAAATCTTTATTTCATAAATCTTCGTTTATGTTTCACAAAAAAAAAATTCGTTTATATCTTGAACCGTACAGAAAGTTTCCCTGTTGCAGATGTTAAGAAAAGTGATGGTTCATGTGACGCTTCCGCCCGAAACACCCAATTGCCTGCTACCAACCACAGAAATGCAAAAACGCAATCATCCCATCTGAACATGTACGGATTCTCCAATAGCTTCAATGCAAAATACATCTTCCTTCCTTAAAGAACATCCAGTAATGGCACTCATTTTATCCATATCCATCTCTTCTTTTAAACAGAGCCTTCCAAAGAATGCAAAAACAAAAAAAAGGCCTTTATTAATCCCTTTATTACTGCAACCAGTTTTTGCCAGAATGGAATCAGCATCCCTTCCAGATTTACTCAATTACATTCTGTGATCAGCTAAAACCAAACATGCAGGTACCAGGAATACCTTTAACGCTTTTTCTTAGCAGCTCTACATCACAATAGAAAAGTTCACCCAGTTGTATCATCAATCAATAAATGATTCAGTTAGGAATTCAAGCTTCATTTCTTCTTCATTCCACTCATCATTCCTTTTTCAGTAGCCAACTAATAAAATGACCCCTTCGAAAAACTAGGGATCTCTTTTGATAATCTTTCTGGTAAAAGTGTTAAATTTGTTTAATCTAACACCAAAAGCAATTATCTGTGCACTACGACTTGTACCGTCTAGTTATTACAACTACAAATGCTTTTAAGTAGCGCATTTCAGCCAAAAAACAAAAACTACAGCCACACAGAAAAAAATTTTAGCCATCAAGAAAACACAAAATGGTCACGGTTCCAGTCACCTTGATTATTTTATCGTCTACTTCATACCAGTTCTGTTTTACTACAGTCAGCCATATCACGTGACGGCAATAAGAAAGGAACTAACGTAGGCAACTTGTTGACAATTCAAAACCATTTTAAACTCAGTAAAGCAATGCTTGCCTTTATCTTACATTGAAGTAGCAACAGTACCAGCACTGATCCTCGTTAACCAAAAGCACTTCAAGATTACGCAGATGTTTTGATTTCAGAAATAATATATATACAAGTACACAAACAGCTACAGATCAACAGCTACAGAAGTACCTTGAAGGGACCGTATTCGAAATGTATTCAGTACATACCCAAGTAGTGAACGCAAAGTCTTTTTAGAATGAGTCGTTGCAGCTATGCATTACGGAATCACACGTTCAGTTGGCATCGCTTTCATTTTCTTTTATACTTCTTTTAGAAGTAAACATTTATAGATAATTCGATATAATGCTTCCTTTACACTGAACAGTTTGCATTGTATTATCAGATTCTTTCCAAAGTGTACTGATAAGTCCGCGCGGTTCCTTACATACCCACAAATTTAAACACGATTTAAATCCTTTTGGATTCTCTGCACCGTCGTTCTCATCAATAATCCTCCTCCTCCTCAAAAACTGAGTTCTTGTGCAAAACATAGCACCAGCAACAAATTTTCCTAGCGCATACGTCAACCATAATAAAACCAACTCCGTTATTGAAACCATGTGATCAAAGTGACATAGTCTGATTCCGACCGTAATGTCAAAGTGATGTAAAACGACCTGTACCATACGAATTCATGTGACATAGAAAGTAGTGTTATGAGATGACGCATATGTGGGTGAACCTGTCTCCCTGCGATCGATTCATCTGACATTTATATCCATATGGTGCGCTTAAATGTGTCAGCTGTTTGGTTATGGTTATGGGTAGTGACGAAGTGTTTCCGCAATTTATCAATTAAATCAGTAAATATTTTAAAAATAGCTTTGCATACTGAATTTTCTATCAAATAAATAAAGAAAATTTTGAGAGATAATATACTTTGATTGATTTTAACATTGGTGAATAGGAGTTGAAGAAATGTTGAGCTGTTCATTTCGAATGCTTTCTGATGTTTGAAGCTGTCATCGATATGTTTATTATTAAATTTAGTTGAACCAAGGCACCATTCTACGAGTGTTCACTAACACTAAGGAAATAATAGTCTCATGTTTTTTCCAGAATCCATAAACATTAGATTCATTCAAGGAAATCTTTAGTTATCTTAATATTTTAAATTAAATTTGTCTAACATTAACTATAAGAAAATAAGGAAATTTCAGCCTTAACAAGTAATGGCTGATCAGCTAGCGTCTGTTTTTCATATCCTTAGCAAGACAATGAAGCATATCAACAATAGTAGCGTACTGTAATCTGAACTGCTGACAGTATCCGATAAGCCGTTGCATCTGTCTCCATAACAAGTACACAATTGTACATCACCGAATACCGGATAAAGTTGTCTGCGGTCCAGATTGTACAAATGAGCACGGGGCAAACTTCGACATTGATTTACCTAAACAGAAACGGTTATTTCTGTCCTTCTAATTCTATAGGATATTCATCTATCAATTTTTCATGATTGAAAAGCTAAACTTACCGCTTGAAAGCGATGCGTTCTTATTGCGGTCTCATTGAAACCATTCCTTAACACTCGATCCATGCAGCCACGGATAAATTTAAAACCGATAAATACACCTAAAAAAAAAAAAAAAAAAAACATTGAAGCTTAGAAGATACCACTAAAAGAGAAAATAATTTTCCATATTTGTTCTCCAGTCCTCAGCAGTATTGTTTGAATTCTAATCACGTGCAGCAAGAGGATAATAATCTTTAAAAAATGAAAAGCTATGATCATTTTGAAATCCAAAAGGAAACAAGTAATGTGTGACGTTTTTCTTTGACTGATTTATGTATATATTACTATATGTGTCAATCAAGGATGTCACTTGTCCATACAATTTTACCTATTAGTTAACCCATAACCCATAAAGCCTCTCTCTGCATTAGTTTTGATGCCAGTAATTTAGTGTGGTCATGCGTCATAAATTTGTTATGTCAATTTAGTGATCAAGGAATAACCGCCAACAAACCAGCTTCAACATCCGGTTCGAGTAAATTAACACACATTGTTGAACAAATTACAGTAGGAATATGATTTGAAAGTTGTGGCTCGTTACATCGATTCGTAAACATCTGAATATCGTAATTAAACACACCTTGCTTATCTTACATTAAAATCTGGAAGGAAGATTGATATGGCAATAACAATTTCAGAAATTTGTCACTTAAGTGTTCTTTAACTTTAATACATCATTTTAACTGCTTGATTCTCTCTATTCTCTCTAAATTAAGCAAAATTCAGGAAAAAGACCTTTATGGCTGATTAATTTTACAATTTCAATTCTTCCTTAGCTTCTACTTTTGAAGTGTATAACTTTTTCTTCCCTTCCTCATGCTGTTACATGTATAGAAAAAAGCTAATAAGTCCTCTTGAACTTTATTAACAAAGGCATCTAATGATGTGATTATTTTAACTTAAGAATACGAAGTTCATCTGAAGCTTTTATTGAGTTTAAGAGTTTAAGAATCAATACGTAAAATTATCATTAGAAAACCTTAGGTGCCGTATAAATATATTGCAGATGTTCCCAGCTTTCTTGATAGCTCAGTGACATACAGGAAAAGCATTCGAACCGACGAGGTATGGTGTCTGAAAATAGATTATATGGATTGATAAGAGCTTAACTATGATAATAATCAAACTGTTAAACTTATTAACTAATATCATATTTGATATCAATGAAATAAAACTAATTTTATAAAGGGTTTCATTAAATTAAATGGGCTTAAAATGTTATGTTGAAAATTGCAAACGGTGTTCAAATAATTTCTTAAATATTTCATATTAATCTTTCGCATTTTCATAATATCAGTATAGCAATGAAGATCCCACTATTTAAATATATTTTGACACATAAAAAGTACTGCTTTTCTTCATTGTCTTTCACACTTTTCTGTGTGATAGACAATAAAAAGGGACAATTTTCAGCTTAATTAGATAATTAATTATACCTTTTCCTTCTAGACAAGAAATAACAAATAAACTTTATAAATTCTGCTTTTGCTCACTAGACAGACTTTAGATGCACTGTAGTAAGAACATTTCACAGTGTAAGTTGATAGAACCCATGTAAACTCAAATTTTATATAAACTGGAAAATAATTTAGAAATAGATTGATGAAAACAGACTAATAAAGCATACAAAGCGTAAATTTGAAGATAAAATGAAAGGAATGAAAATACCAAATTCCATCAATTCGTCAAATTCTCCAGCGATGCACAAGTGTGAAATATCGATAAAAATGGCCACTATCAGTATCACCAGACTACCTACAGTTTTCATTCCGACATTGTCGTTCACTTAGTCCACCAATGCCCTCTTTTCAGCTAGTTCCCGAGTTTCAGCACAATTTTATATCTGTGATATACGATTTGCTCCTTCATCATTACAAATAATAACGAAAAATAATACGCAATAAACTTACAGCTCAGAAACAGAAAACCTTTAATTAAGAGAAAGGACTTTGAACGAACACAATCTGAAATTTTGTGCAGAAAATGACAAAGGGAATATGTTGGAAAGTTGGTAAAAATTTTACATGAGAGTGGATGAAATAAGTGATGCGAGTGATAAAAACTACTTGTGATTAAAATATCCTAAATGTGATTTTTTGTGATGGCACACATAAGATAAAAGTATTTCAAGCATTTCAGAATGCAGTTCGATAGATGAAATTTAACAAATAATATTATCTGTTTTTAAAAAGATTGCTAACGTCATTCACGATTAAAAAGCATAATTCATTAAGAGATAATGAATAATTAAGTTAAAATATGGGTATGTATTCTCAAAAGACGTTCATTATACTTGTAGAGAATGAAAGAAGTGATCTAAATTGCGGATAGCAAACAATTTAAAATTAAGAGAACATTGAAAACACTACAATTAATATTGAAATTTCCTTCTTAGAAGTCATCATTTTGAACATGTCAAAGAAAACTTCTGGAAATGCCGCCCCATTCGATTTGAAGACAGTAGAATTTCAGTAGTACCCAGTACATAGAGAATGTCCTTTCCGCTCTTAATTTGTCAACCAAGACATTCAACTAAAAATATATGACAATAAATGGTCCAATCATCCGTTTTGACATATTACAATATTTCGAACATTACTTTATGCTTATTTTCATGCTTACTCTCTTCAACTGTCAGATATAATTTAAATATAAAAGCAGAATTTTATCATATTTTATCTAGTTTGTGAAATTAACACTTAATTATCCAAAAAGAACATGAAAAAACCTTGAATTATCAAAGTTATAACAGACAATCGCAAAATAAAATGTATATATAGGTCTGATGAAAAGAAAAATAGAGGAACTGAGTAAAAATTAAAAGTTTCCTTGGTGAAATAGAAAAATAGAATTGTCGCGATTTTCCATATGTCGAAAACCAAGTTAGTTAGATTAAAAAATATAATTGTTAGATTTATTTAGGCATAAACTTATAGACTCTGTATATTTTTCCTACAAATGAAAAACTATGGAATACATTTGTGAGAAATTATCGATCGGAAATAAAATGTTTCAAATTATTACCAGATCAGAAATATCTGTCTGACAATTGAAAATTATTGTTGCATTTGTTAGATGGCATTTGTTAGAGTAGTAAAATGAAGGACTATTGTCTTTACTTTCTGGGAATGTTAGTTCCAAAATTCTATTATTATCAAGATCTCTCCAATCAAGGCTATTCAAAAGTAAGGTAACGAGAATGCGACTTTTTCTGGATAAGTTGAGAATTATTTGCGTCTTTTTCATTTTACATCAGTTTTGTTTACATCAAACTACTGGGAAGTCGTAAAAGCAATAAAAGTGAAACAAAATTCGCTTCTTGCCGTACCATATTTTGACGAGACAGGCAATTAGATAGAACTGTTTCAATCATTTTTGTTTGTTGGCTTCGCAGAGAAAACTTTGACCGCTTGGAACTTGCTTTTCATTTTGCTTCTCGAACAATTCTCTTATTCTTTCTTCGAAGTGTTAAACAATAAATTGACATTATCTCACTTTTCTGTTCAATATATTCAGTAAATAAGCCATTGAAAAGTACGATAAGTAGCAGAATTTTGAAGTTTATTGAATACATTGGAAAAAAGCTATTGCTTCCCATCCTTAAAAGCTGGAAACTTCATTTGCATTCTTATCGTATCATCGCACTTAAGCTTGATATCCTTGATCAATCAAACAGATTTAGAATAAGTCAAAACTCTCTGAATCACTTCTCTAACGAATTATCATGACTAATGCATGATTAAAAAAGAAATGCAACAATTAAATTTATTAAAGGCTGTAATGGAATGCTAAGGGTATTTATTTACCTTTTATAAAAATTTTAAAGTTAGATGAGATAAATATGTGTACAAACAATTTTTTACTGCATAATTTTTTAATGTAAAATTAATTTCAAACAGATGAGTTGCTTCTTCATCAGTTTCTGTTAGGTTAGGTGATGATAAACTAGAAAAAAAAAGGCTGTCTGAGAATAAATCTGAGCAAACTGCTGATAGTTAATTTTTCATCAGTTACTGAAAACAAGTGTTTCACCTGCTTATTTCAATAAAACAGAATTTGGAATGGCGGGAATGTCTTGAGGAAAGTGTTTTTTTTAGCATAAGCAAAAATTAGTGAAATGTATCGCTTTATAATGACTGCTACATCGAGCACTCACAGCTGTAAGATTCAAATCAATTCAATCCTCTCCTGTCTTTGTTGAACTCTAATGACAGCTAATGAATAGCAAAGAAAAAATAAAATGTCGCAGCTTTTCTGCTTCTTTTCTGTAATTTTTTTAGCTTCTTTGGTTTTTCCCACCACATTCTATTGTACATTTCAGTCTTGCAAATTATAAGCATGCAAAATCAAATCAGCTATTGCTTTCGATCGGAATGAGATCATTACTATGGTGATTCTAAATTCTAAGTGACAAAAAGATGGAAAAGATGTTTGATAAAGCAACATGAGTCAGTTACGAAGTCAGAAAAGTGACAGCTTTAAACACACTGTAATTCTTTTTTTCTTTAATTTTTTTAAAGGCGGAAATTTCAAGTGTAAGGCTTGCTTGAAATCAGTCAAACATGACTGATAGCTAATATATGCAGACAGAGGACTAACGGACACAATCATTTTCTCTATGTTCCCTCTATTTCCACTCCCTGTTTCTCTTTCAAAGGAAACAGCAATTTTGAAAACTCGAGAATAAGGCATGATAGTGAAAAAATTAAGAATTTTAAGCAATTCGAACTCGCTCTAATAAAAGAGAAAACTGAAAATTGCAAGCATAAATAATTGAGGTTGCTTACTTCAAGCACAATTAATGATTTCATTTTTTGCAGTACGAACTTTCCTAACGACAACGATTTTCACTCACAATTCGAAAATGATATAAAATGAAGTCTGAAATGACTTTTATTATTTAACATATATGAAGCTGCTACGATATGAATGAATGAATAGCTGAAATGCAAACAACTCTCTCAGCTTTATCTAGAAAAGCTAAGAGATCCAAATTCACACGAAGATAATTCTTCACCCCAAGGGACAAAGCAGTACTGTTTTTCAATTCCATCGATTCTTTCGATTCATTGGTTCTTTAGCATGTCGAACAATCTAACACAACAGTATGTGATTGAAACGCAATAAAAATATTCTTCAATATCACACTTAACGTTACAGCCATTATTCTAACTGATCAACATATGTGCTATCCTTTTCCCTAGTAATGTCCACTTTTCGATTTTGTTAAAAAGAAAATTTTTGAAGCAGATAACTCATAGTCTTGGACATTCAAAAACATTCGTTTTAACAGCTTCTCATATTTTCATTCTTCAGCGGTTGTCTGAGAGTTAATGCATTGGTAAAGTCAGAAAAAAAAAAAAAAAAAAAACACTGAATGTAGTAATGATCTCATTCCGATCGAAAGCAATAGCTGATTTGATTTTGCATGCTTATAATTTGCAAGACTGAAATGTACAATAGAATGTGGTGGGAAAAACCAAAGAAGCTAAAAAAATTACAGAAAAGAAGCAGAAAAGCTGCGACATTTTATTTTTTCTTTGCTATTCATTAGCTGTCATTAGAGTTCAACAAAGACAGGAGAGGATTGAATTGATTTGAATCTTACAGCTGTGAGTGCTCGATGTAGCAGTCATTATAAAGCGATACATTTCACTAATTTTTGCTTATGCTAAAAAAAACACTTTCCTCAAGACATTCCCGCCATTCCAAATTCTGTTTTATTGAAATAAGCAGGTGAAACACTTGTTTTCAGTAACTGATGAAAAATTAACTATCAGCAGTTTGCTCAGATTTATTCTCAGACAGCCTTTTTTTTTCTAGTTTATCATCACCTAACCTAACAGAAACTGATGAAGAAGCAACTCATCTGTTTGAAATTAATTTTACATTAAAAAATTATGCAGTAAAAAATTGTTTGTACACATATTTATCTCATCTAACTTTAAAATTTTTATAAAAGGTAAATAAATACCCTTAGCATTCCATTACAGCCTTTAATAAATTTAATTGTTGCATTTCTTTTTTAATCATGCATTAGTCATGATAATTCGTTAGAGAAGTGATTCAGAGAGTTTTGACTTATTCTAAATCTGTTTGATTGATCAAGGATATCAAGCTTAAGTGCGATGATACGATAAGAATGCAAATGAAGTTTCCAGCTTTTAAGGATGGGAAGCAATAGCTTTTTTCCAATGTATTCAATAAACTTCAAAATTCTGCTACTTATCGTACTTTTCAATGGCTTATTTACTGAATATATTGAACAGAAAAGTGAGATAATGTCAATTTATTGTTTAACACTTCGAAGAAAGAATAAGAGAATTGTTCGAGAAGCAAAATGAAAAGCAAGTTCCAAGCGGTCAAAGTTTTCTCTGCGAAGCCAACAAACAAAAATGATTGAAACAGTTCTATCTAATTGCCTGTCTCGTCAAAATATGGTACGGCAAGAAGCGAATTTTGTTTCACTTTTATTGCTTTTACGACTTCCCAGTAGTTTGATGTAAACAAAACTGATGTAAAATGAAAAAGACGCAAATAATTCTCAACTTATCCAGAAAAAGTCGCATTCTCGTTACCTTACTTTTGAATAGCCTTGATTGGAGAGATCTTGATAATAATAGAATTTTGGAACTAACATTCCCAGAAAGTAAAGACAATAGTCCTTCATTTTACTACTCTAACAAATGCCATCTAACAAATGCAACAATAATTTTCAATTGTCAGACAGATATTTCTGATCTGGTAATAATTTGAAACATTTTATTT